CATACAAGATCCTCTTGTAAATATGTTTTCGTTTAGGACAAATATGTGAGAACCAGATCTATAATTCTCAAACTAATGTTAAGAGAATTTTTCTGGGGTTCCCCAATTCTCTGAGAATTTGAAAATTATTTTTAAAATATCAATGATCTAAGAAATTAAATACTGTAAAAAAATAATCAGGGTCACCTGAATGAAAATCTTGTCAGTGTGTACACATACCCAATTTCAGTGCCTATATTGGGAGCATTTACAAGAGCTGGTGGAGAAAGAGGCTCAGCTATATTCAGAAGCTCCATCAAAAAATGTTAAGGAGTCATTTCAGGAGTTTAAGAAAAGTATAATGATAACATTTACAGTTTTTAAAGATCGCTTTGAAATGAATATAAAGAATGTGTTGGAAGAAAAAAAATTTTAAGTGAAAACTATTGCAATAGTTCAGACAACTAAGGAGTAAAACCCATAAAACTAGGTGAACAGATTTGACTGTGGGATGAGGGAAGGGATTACTAAAGCCAAAAGGGAATGATATAGAATGACTATCAAGAGCAAATAATTAATAAGGTAATTTCAGTGAATAAATAACACATTTTTGAGGGAGACTTAAGAATCACTTGAGTATTTATTCATAGGCAATTCAAAATCTTTATCTTAAGGAAACCATATCTAATTTTGTAATTCATACAAAGTATATTAGTCAGGGTTCTGTAGAAAAACAGAACCAATAGGATGCATAGATAGATATGTTTGGATATATATACATATATAATTGGCCCATGTGAGTATGGAGGTAGACTCCCATGATCCGTCATATATAAGCTAGAGAACCAGAGAGTTCAGTCCAAGTCCAAAGGCTTACAAACCAGAAGAGCCAATGGTATAAATTCTAATCCACAGGCAGAAAACTTATGTCCCAGCTCAAATATTCAAGCAGAGACAGCACGAATTCTCCCTTTGTCTACATTTGGTTCTATTCAGGCCCTCAGTGGATTGGATGATGCTGCCCACTCTATCTACTATTCAAATGCTAATCTTATCTAAAAACACTCATAGACATCCCATAAAGAATGTCTAACCAAATACATGGGCAGCCCATAGCACACAATAAAGTTGACAAATAAAATTAACCATCACACCACATCAAAAATTTCACTTTTGTGAAATTTTCTTTCTCTTTTGCTATATAAGCTATTTGAAAAATGTAGCTTAATTTCTTTCGATAGATCTTAATGAATTTTAATGTCATCTTTTCATTAATATTTATTTGTAGTTTTATAAAATGGCTCTCCTCTGAATAATTGGCTTTGTCTTCCTGGTTTTTACAATATAAATGAAAGCCTCAAAACAGAATTTATTGTTCTCTTCCCATTCTAGGTAGGAAAAAAAGAATTTTTTTTCTTTAGAGGCAAATATAGTAACTATTGGTAAAAAATAAAAAAAGGGTATTTCTTATCATGTTGTTAAATTTCACACAGCTTTTTGTCAATGTGCCTGGTTTCTCTAATAGGTTTTACCTCCTCTACTTTAAGAAAGCCATTTTGCCTATTTCATCCCAGTGCCTAAAACAGTGTCTGGCACATGGATTGGTGCTCAATAATTTGCCAAATATTTAATAAATGAACAAATTCATATCTCAAATAGCAAAAGAGTATAACTGCAAAGCTTCAGAGGAGGGTTTCTCTTACTTTGTTAATTAAGTCGTATAGGATTCCCCTTACTGGGTCTTCTCTGTACAATCTACCAACCACCTCCTGGGTTTTCTGTTGATGTTCTCATGTTGGCTGTTCTCATATTTCTTCTCCCTATTATTCTTTAAGTCAAAGGCTTTCTAGGACCATTAGTTTTTCTTCACCATGTTTCTGCCAGAAAATCATTGAATTTAGCCATTGTGCAGACAATTATGGTACTCATGTTTTATTTTGAAAAAAACAAAAAGCTCTGTCAGTAACCAATTCCTATTGAACACAAAACATATTTGAATCAAAAAGTTCTTAGTGAAGCACAGATTGTATGTCTAGGACAAACTGTCTGCTAGAGTCAATAGTCATAATTTCTTTTATAAATGGAATATAAATGCCATGGTAATTTAAAATCTACCATCATCCATCTTTTTGAAAAGTACATGAACAAGCTCTCCTTTAGCAGCTGCGAACTTGATATCATCCCTCCTTTCCTTGAATTCATATTTCCATCTCACTTCCTCCACATAAGCTTATCCTAACATAACATATTTTAAGGTTTCAAAATATTTAAATTGATCACTCTATCATAATTCCTTAAAACATAAAAAAGTAAATTTTAAAATTTCCAAGAACATAAGTTCTAATATTGTGTCATCATTAAATTACTAGAATACTGTTGATGAATATTTAACATATAACAAACTACAGTTATTTTAAAATATAAAAAGCTTTTTTTCTTTTTTGAGACAGAGTCTCACTCTGTCGCCCAGGCTGGAGTGCAGTGGTACAATCTCGATTCACTGCACCCTCTGCTTCCTGGGTTCAAGCAATTCTCATGCCTCAGCCTCCCCAGGTGGCTGGGACTACAGATGTGAGCCACCATGCCTGGCTAATATTTGTATTTTAGTAGAGACAGACTTTCGTCATGTTGGCCAGGCTGATCTTAAACTCCTGATCTTAGGTGATCAGCCTTTCTCAGTCTCTCAAAGCTCTGGGATTACAGGCATGAGCCACCATGCCTGGCCTATAAAATATAAAACATTTATTGGAAATGCATGTCATAAAGAAATGGACAGAATCTTCTGCCCCCTCCCTCATTATGCCATGTACCCAGAAATAAATATTACTTATTGCTAGAAAGAAATGGAATTCAGGTTAATTCTATTTTTGTATGTTATATTCTTCCATTCCAAATGTTTGGGAGTGTAATGATTTCTGGTTATAGCAATAGTAATTTGTGTGAACTCCTAAGTTATGTACCAAAAATCACACAGGGGTATGTAGCAAAAATCATTTTTAATGATCAGCTGGTAACTCAATTTGGTCCTCCTGCAATTATTTTCTAAATTGAATTTGTAGGTACAAAAAATATAATGGTTCAAAAGAAAAGAAACTGGCCCAAACTTGGCCTTGGAGACAGCTTTTTGGATGATGTAATTCATAACTCCCTCTTGGGAAAATATGAATATTCCTGAACAAAATGCCTAAGCAAAGTTCCAATAACTTTCAATGGAATCAAGATGCTCTGGAAAACCAACCACTCACAACTAGTTGGCTATCAGTTAAGATTATCAGTTAGGACCCCTACATTCTTTTCTTTCTGTTATTTAGCTTAACAATTATCTAACCATTCTCTTTTCCTATAAAATGTCCCTATCAATACTGTAACTTTTAATTAACTTAGCAGAGGTCTTTCCCCGATAATAAACCTTTAATACATGATTACATCTAAACTGTGTAACAAGTTTTCTCTAATAATTCATTTTATTTGCTAAAGTTAATTAAAGCAGAAACAGGGTGGAATGTGACCATTTGCAGCTAAATGCAATGAATATATGGATTACATTTTGTCATAATCTAGCAGGAGTTCCACAGCCCAAAAAGAAAAATTAAGATGTTTTGCTCGACTAAAATAATAAAATTTGTATATCCTGGTTAAGCAAATATGTTTGTTAATAAACGCATTATACGTTTGTTAATAAACCCATTGTATGGTACGCATTGTAAAACAAAAATGGACTCTCACCAGATAAAACTTCAAAATACTGATTTATGACACTTTATTTTTATTTACCCTGAAAGAAAAGATTCAAATGATTTTCCCTGCCTTTTCAACAATGCTAAAATTATTTTAAATTATGAAAGAAGATTAGAAAACATTTCTACACCTTCAAATTAAAAACCAGGTTACCACTTTATTTCTGATGACTCGTGATGCCTCAACCAATTGTGCTAGCATTCTTCAAAACTCTGCTTGTAAAAACACACCACCTAATGGTTCAGTTTGAAATGGAAAATTCTCGAAATGCATCATGGAAGCAATCAAAAAAGTTAAGGACTGGTACTTGCTCAAAATATTAAAAACACTGCTTTCCTCCCGTCTCCAGCCCAGTAAATTGAAGCAAATCATTTCCTTTCTCAACGATAACACTACTAAAGATTTCTATGTATTTTTTAAAATATAACTTCAACTTCTGGTCTTTGTTCATAAGAGCTATAAATTTTCACTTAAATCTGAACCAAAAAAGAGAGGTTTAGCAACAATAAAAACGTATTTTCAAGTGAACCCTTGAGTGGAATTCATCCTGTTGGACTGACAGTTGGGCTGATAGGTAAGCCTGCAGATGACAACATACTGCTGTAAGGCGGTGGTGAGGAATGTCCGTATTGCTAATCGGCGATTAGTGAAGTTAAATTTCCTATAATTATTGCCCCTTATTTGTTTATTTAATTAATAATACCCTAGAGCTACAGGGGTTCCATCTGGCTGCGACCTGCAATGACTGTAATTAATTCAACTACTCGTGACTCCAAAGCTAGGGACTATCATTTAGAAAAACCAAAGTGGTGGCAACTCCAGGGAAGCCAGATACAACTTTGGCATCTTCACCCTGTGTCTCATTCCACAAACTGTGCAGTGTGCTAGAAGCCGCGGTGTCGTTTGTGGGTAACTACAGTCCCCTAAGCTATTCGTCGAGCTTGTACCTCAACTGACTGCCTGAGGGCTTGCAACGGAGCCTTGAAAACAGGCTACTGAGGGTTAAACGGCTTCTAACAGGCTTCCCAGTTCCCAGCCACGTCAGGCGATACCACCTCGTAAACCTGTAAAGGCGCTACTGAGCCGAGCACCACACGCTCGGGGACCCCCAAGAGGACGCTGAGTGAAAAAGACGCGCTAGAGGGCGCCCCTGAAAGCGACGCTTGGCCCAAGACACGAGGGATGGTAACGCTCTTACCCAATACAACTCCACTCCACTCCGCCGCCGCTGCCGCCGCCACCGCCTCCTGGCGTCGCGCGGCCCCGCCCCGTCTCGCCGCGGAGACTCACGGGACGTGTAGTACACCGCGCTGCCACTCCTGCACTTCCCCACCCCCACGACCGAACCAAGCTTCAAGAACGCCCTCCCAGCTAGCTCCCTCGGGCCTGACTTCCGGTTTCTCGCGCCGCCCTGGCGCTGAGCCCGCGGACAGCGGTAGCCCCTTTTCCGGCTGAGAGCTGATCCACCCTTTCAGTCAGTAGTTGCAGCGCTTCCCCTCCCTCCGGCCCTTGCTGGTCCCGACGACGGGCCGGGGTCTCGCGCGCGTATTGCTGGGTAACGGGCCTTCTCCCGCGTCTGCCGGGCTCCTCCTGTCTCCTCTCGCCCGTCCTTCCAGAACGTCCAGGGCTCCTGCCGAGTCAGAAGACATGGGATTCCCTCCGCGGCGCACCCCGAGCAGCTCCCTTCGCTGTGGAAGCGGCGGTGTCTTCGAAGAAACCGGAAGCCCGTGGTGACCCCTGGCGACCCGGTTTGTTTTCGGTCCGTTTCCAAACACTAAGGAATCGAAACTCGGCGGCCTTGGGGGCGGCCCTACGTAGCCTGGCTTCTGGGTGAGTGACTCGCCAGGGCCGGGCGGAGGATAGGGATGCGGGCAGTGCCACGGCCAACCTCCGCTGCTGTTGCTGGTCGGATGAGACACGTCATTTTTCTCACTCCCTCCCGCGCCCCCTACTTTGACTAGGGAGCGGCCCACTCTTGGTCATCCCTTTCTTTCCCCTGTTACCCCCACACCCCAGCTGTCCAGGCCTTTCTTGGTTATTCACGTTTCTTAGCCAATTGCTCCTTTTCTTTCCGTACTCTGACTTACTGGGGCGCCTTCAGTTTTTTTTTCATTCATTGGGACTACATCTGTATCGGAGAGAAGACGGACATGTGTCTAGGACGGTACTCCCTGTGCATCTGAGTAGTGAATATCGACCCCCTGCACTTGATCGAGGGCTAACAGGTATTCGTCGTTTCTCCAATGTCTAGCTTGTATACAGTACTCAGTACAGCCTTCAGCTATTTGTTGAGTAACTACTGCTACGTGCAAGGTAGGCGAACACCCTCTACACACAAGAAATCCCGGTACTCGAAAGCTACAAAATACCCACGAAAACTCCCATACAAATCAAACCTTCAGTTGCTCCCGGACGTAATGCAAATTTGTTAAGGGGATCAAGGATAGACATACCAGGATTAAAATTGACCCTTGCTCTTTCAGTATAGAAGACATTTTTGTTTTCAGTTTGGAATTTCAAATTGGGTTGAGCAAGATCTCAAGGCACAATTTCGTTTCTCTAAAAACGCCTTATCTCATTGCCCAGTCTTGTGATCATTCCATCGTCTGTAAATTGAGAGCAGTGCCTCCTTTACAGGATATTTACAAAATTTTAATGTGATATTGTTTGTAAGCGAGACATCATATGCAAATAGAAGGTTTTAGTGTTAAAGAGACAACATAACTTAATGAGAAATGACGCTGGATTAGGTCAGAACACCAGTACCTGAATGCAGATTTTTCCACACTTGACAGTGAGGCTAAACTACTTCCTCATTTTCCTTATCTCAGAAATGGGGGTAATACATACTCTAAGGCACCAAAGCATAGTTTCTAAGAGTTATGCCGGTTCTGGAGTCAGCTGCCTGATTTTCATTTCTGGCTCCTCTACTTTCTAATGTTCTTATGTCTCAGTTTCTCCACCTGTAATATGAGGAGATTCTTTACAACCTCAGAGGTGTTACATGGATTTACTGAATCCTTATGAAGAACAAATAAGATCCTTTCTCTGAAAGGTAGCACACTGCTTGGTGTACCATAAACACTTGGCTACAATTACCCATGCAGGTCCTTGTCCTGATTATTAAGTAAAATGATGAAGTTTTTTTTATAATCCGTGAAGTAATAGAACCAATCTTTTTTTCTTTTTTACTGAACTTATATTCAGAATCCAAGTATAGCTGTCTTATCACCGTTAGAAAATAATTATCAGTAACACCAGTAACTTTGAATGTATGGTAGGTGCCCAGTTGCATTAGAAATATTACTGTATGAAAGGAATGAAAAGTAGACTTCTCTTCATACCTGTGCTAATTCTGGAAGAGTCCTGTGTTTCCGTGGCAATGCAAACTCATTTCTAGACTAACGCAGTTTGTTGGATAACTCAGTGAGGGTCATAAAAATTAAGTTGGAGTTTTTCTTTTTCTTGTATATCTAATGCTGAGTACATTTTTGGACAGTTATTGAATTACAGGGCATTTTATTGCTAATGTACACAGACTAAGCGATGATGTCTTGAAAAGAGGTACTTGATGACCCTTCTTTATAAACTAGTTAGGCTATTTCTGCCCTTCTTTGATTACAGACAGAGAAAGAGAAGTAAGCATTGGTCTGTTCATCTTCATAAGCCTTAATCCTTGCTCCATAGTATTTTGACTGATTGTACGAAATAGATATGGGAATATCCTAGCTTTTCAGAGGTAGAAAGGTGAGGAAAATTCTAAATATGATTTACTTCAAGAGGCCATATAGAATACGGAACCTACCACATAGGCCTTAATTCAAACTTCAGTTATGTTGCATACTGCTGGTGTGAATATTGGCAGTTTACCTCGCCTCTTTGAGCCTCAGTTTCCTCATTTATCGTGGTGCCAATACCTTTCTAGCCAAATTTGGTGTGGACTTGAGATAATGTGTGTACTCTACCTATTAGGCAGTTCCTGGCATAAATGTGAATTCCCTTCTCTCTGTTTAGGTTGCCATTATTCTGTATTCATATTAAACTTTTGCCTTCACAGTTTAGTAAGGTGGCATCTTAGTGATGCAGTCTAACCCTGTCGTTCTACAGATGGAAAAATTTCGATCTGGAGAGATAAAGTGAACTAAACTATAATCAGGGTAGTAAATCCTAGCCTAGAATCTGTGTTTCTGAATCCTGGGCAAGTGTTCTTTTTGACATAGTTATTCCTTGTCCATATTCTTTTTAGGATAACCACAATCCCTTTTGTATTGCCTCTCCAAATGTTGTATTAAGAGCATTGACTTAGAAGACAGCTTATTTGGGTTCGCATCTCAGCTTTGCCACTGACTAGTTGTGTAGCTGTAGGTAAGGTGTTTAACTTTCTAAGACTTCGTTCATAACTTTGGATAATAGTACTTAGCTAAGTGGTAGAAAAACGCATGTGAAAGCGTTAATGACTCGCATATGTTAAGTGATCAATAAATGGCAGATATAAAGATGGTGAAATGTGATAGGATAATCATATTTATTCCTAGAAGACCAGTCTGATATCAGCAGATACGTTTTCTAGTATCCCAAACCTTGATATATGTAGCATATGAACAACTGAAAGTTCTCTCAGTGTTGATTGCAATGATGAAGGCTAAAATTTAAGATCCTCCAAAATAATTTTAGTAAATAATGTTTAAATCTTGTTTTTTCCTGTTTCTCCCCAAGCTCCAGGTACTGCTGTTCTCATTTCTACCTACTTTATCTGACAAATCGTGCCCTTTCTCCATTATTATTCTTTGGAATTTCGTTGTTCTCAAAAATAATTGTCAACAGCGTTTACCTCAGTCTTTTTAATTCTCTTTTTATATTTAAGCAAACCTCTAAAGGGAAACAAAATTTAACTGCCAAATATATGAAATATTTGCATGACTACATACAGATATATTTTTCTGTAAACATGTTTTATTTAACCCCCTATTATATTGTGATGAGATGATGAATGTGAAATTACTTTCTGTAATATTAAAAGTAAAATCTTAATGCAAAAGTTAAAGGGTGTTTACTAATTCATAACATAGAACTGACCATGCCCACAAATGTTCAAGGGTAGTAATGAAAACATAGGTTTATTATTTTAAGAAAATTTAAATTGTGATAACAAAACTAGACATAATGTTAAGTGTCTCCAAATGTTAAATGGTATAACTAGCTTGGTCTAGTTTGTCAAACAGAATAATAGCCAGTTACACTATTACCATTTATCTAGAAAATCAGAATTCATGGGCCAACTGATTTATATACACACACACAGCCATTTCATCGCAACTAAAATGTATAAAACTGAATCTTTATTATGAGGCAGATTACCACAGCTCCCTTTACTTCTCTGTAGAAATACGTTTTATGAAGGATGCTTGCATAACAATAAAACCAAAGGCTACACATAGCCTGCTTGGTTATTTTGCTAACAGTTTTCCTTTCATTATATTAATAAATATAATGGGCTATCTGCCTTGTATTGTTTCCTTTTTAAGATCTCACTTTCCCTGGCCCTGTAGCTTTTACTCTCCAGAAGTCTGGTTTGTACAGACTAATACGATAAGTATTAATATTCTCATACTTGTGATTTCGTATTTATTTTTGCAGGGATAGAAATTAAAATTTTAATTATCCATTTTATATCAAATTTAGATGACAGTTATTTTAGAACTTAATAAAAGTTGATACATAACTGTGATGCTAGCAGATGGTATGCTTTAATATGTGGCTATTTCTTAACATAACTTTTAGGACAGATAAGCAATTTGATGCTGCTTTTCAGCATATTCTAAGTAATGTTTATAGTATAGAATAACGATATAAAATGAAAAAATCTTTTTATGCCATTGTTTTCTTACAGAGACAACATATATGCAACTTTTGGTTTACAAATACAATGGCAACAGATATCAATAGGTAAACCAGTCTGACTACTCATATGGTCTTAAAAGTGACCGGCCATCATGTTGTATAAAATGTGACATTATTGGCCGGGCACTATGGCTTATGCCTGTAATCCGAGCACTTTGGGAGGCAGAAAAGGATGGATAACAAGGTCGGGATATCGAGACCATCCTGCCCAACATGGTGAAACCCCGTCTGTATTAAAAATACAAAAAAAGTAGCTTGGTATAGTGGTGCGCACCTGTAGTCCCAACTACTCGGGAGGCTGAGGCAGGAGAATCGCTTGAACCCAGGAGGCAGAGGTTGCCATGATCCAAGATCACGCCACTGCACTCCAGCCTGGAGACAGATTGGGACGCTGTCTCAAAAAAAAAAAAAAAAAAAGTTACATTATTATATCAGTATACCTCCTTCCATGTAAAGTACTTTTGTAAGCCTTCTAAAGGGTTCCTGGTTTTGTAGGAGTGTAAGGTTTTGTGAAAGATTCATTAGGGAGGGGAAAATATTAATAGCTCAGGCTTTAAAATCCAAGTCCTGTTTCATACTAATTATGTGATCCTGGCTGAGCTTCATTACCTTTCCAGGTCCCAGTTTTCTCATCTGTGAGATGAGTTTGATAAGATTTTGTACCTCATAGGACAGTCTTCAGAATTAAATGGGATAATGTTTGTAAACATTTAGCATAATGCTAAGTAGTTCACCTGGTTGTGAATTTTTTAAAAAATCAACACATGTAAGTATTCATACCCTTTAATCATGTGCAAGCCTATTTTTAAACAAATCAACAGAATAAGCACCAAAATCCATAGTGTCTCTATCAGGAAAGACCATCTCAGTTTGTCTCCATTCTGTTTTTTTAATCTCATCTCCTGCCACTCCCCTTCTCAACCTCTCTCCCCGCACTTAGATCTCTGAACTTGTTCCCTCTGCTGGAAGTTAGCAAACTCTAAAGGTGTAAGTACAATACAATGAAAATAACCATCCTCTTCATTTAAAGGTACAGTATTAAGAGACATTTGCTCTTTTGTGGTATCTTCTGTGAAAACCACTTCTCCCCATCCCTCAGACCTTCCATAGCATTTTGTATTGTTTCAAATATATTGCCTACATTTATGGTATAATAATAATTTTTCTGCATAACTCTGCCTCTCACTCTGGGTTTCCCTTGCTGTGTAAACGATTGTTTCATGATAAAAATGAACAAATAAATCACAGCTGAGCTAATTAGAACTTTGTGTAAAACAAAAGTGCATGAACCTTGATTCTTAAAATACACAAACCGCAGGATATCTGTTTTTGACTTTGTAGGGCAGTTTATGTTATTTCTTGTTTTCAGCTGTCTTTAGAAAAAATACATATCAAATAAATCCTGCCCATTGGGTGATTATTAAATTATTTAAGTCAAATGTCTAGTATGACTTAAATTTTACCTCTCAAACTAGACTGTATTCTACCACTTACCTAGCCATCTATGCTTATTTTACTTCTACTTTTAAGGGGGGTGTGTGTAAGAGTCTTACATGAAGATATATATGCATACTTAGAATTTGCAACATGGGAATAACCTGTACTTTTCTTCTGAAAGGAAATAATGAGAGTTTCAGCTAGCAAGAGCATGACTGAAATGATGTTTGCTCTTATTAAGAGACTGAAAAGTAAACTCTTTTAGAGGAAGAAAATTTAAACTCTTTGTTATTAGGAGAAAGTGCAGCTTGCATCAGAAGCAGCATGAATTAATTATGATTCTGAGAATCTGCCACTTTTTTGGTATACTGTAGGTAGCATAGTCTATTCTTGTTCTTGGACTTTATTGAAAAACTGGGAAAGATTGTACCTTAACAGTGGAGTTGTCTTGTATGGTTAGAAAATGTTAAATTGGTATTGGTGAAGGTTGACTAGAAGGCAGGTTTCACCTACTCAAGACTTATAGTATACATATTTGTTTTTATCTGCCTTTCATGCAATCCTAGATACAAATTGCCTAGATGCTGCCAACTCTTGCTTTAGTTGACAACGATTGGAAGTTTTTAATTGTACAATTAGAAAAGCAAAATACTAACCTTTTGTTGGTATTCGTGTGGTTTGAAATAAGGCAAAAGGAATGTTACAGGCAGTAGTTGGCACAAGAAGAGAGATTAGACGTTTTGGAAGAAAGTAGGCATAGTGAAACATGGGTTTGAAATATGGCTATAATTAAATTGCCTGTGTTTATATCTCAACTCTCCACTTATTTTTTTTATTTTTTATTTTTTTTGGTTTTATTTCGGAGACGGAGGCTTGCCCTGTCACCCAGGCTGGAGTGCAGTGGCACAATCTCAGCTCACTGTAACCTCCCCCTCCTGGGTTCAAGCGATTCTCCTGCTTCAGCCTCCCAAGTAGCTGGGACTACAGGCGTGCACCACCACGTCCAGCTAACGTTTTGTATCTTTAGTAGCGTTGGGGTTTCAGTTTCACCGTGTTGGCCCAGGACGGTCTGGAACTCCTGACCTCATGATCTGCCCACCTCAGCCTCCCAAAGTGCTGGGATTACAGGTGTGAGCCACTGTGCCCAACCCTATGTTACTTTGGAAAAAGTACTTAAATTCCTCCTACCTCAGTTTCTTCATCTAATGTTCTTGAACAATGACTGATATTAGTAGCCAAATTTTATTTCAAGCAAGGGATAGTTTAAAAACTCACTTTCTAGGAATAATTACTGACCTAAGATACATGACATTCAGTTGATAATCTTTATTTAGAATGCTGTATCTAGTGTTTCATTTTAAACTAAAAGTATTTTAAAGAACTTTTTAGGTTCTCCTGCATGATCTGAAGTCCCTCTGACCCTGTTTTTCCCAGGAGGTCTTAAAAGGTTTTAGCCACAGTTTCTTCTTCCATCATGTTTTTCAGGAACATAACTCCCAGAAAAGTAATGCTGAACCTAACAGCAAAAGTAGATGTACAGAGCAAGTCAATTTTCATTAAATAATGAGGGTAACTAGCTTCTTCTCTTAGGTTTCAGAGTCAGAGTTTGATTTGAATCCTACTCTACTCACTCTTCATTCAGCAATTAATATTTATTGAGCAACTTCTACACAGTGGTGAGTTGGGGACACAGTGATGAGCAAAACAGACATAGCCTCTGCCCTCACAGAGCTTAACATTCTTCTAGATTTAACTGGGCCAATTCAACGTTCTAAGACCTACCTATAAAATATAGATTATACCTACATCATAGAATTGTTTAGATGATTAAAAGAGATAATATTATAAGAATGTAGTGCATGATAGTGGGACATAATGGACACCCAAATGTTAATTTATTTGTCTTCTATTCTGAATATACAACAAACATAACCAATTACTGGTATGGAAAGAATATAGTAGAGTATGCATTCAGATTTCCATAATATTAATATGTTGTAATGAATTATACTCAGAATTTTTGAAAATTTATAAATTGAAAAGCTATAAAACTTGCTATAATAGGTCTAAGTGGAAATGTTAAGGGAAGAAATATTTGGGGATAAAGTATTTTTTAAAATTTTGACTGTTTTAATGGAAAGTGATATTTCAGACATTTATAGAATGTACTAATAATTATGGTTTTAAATACTTCATAGATATTATCTTATTTCATATTCTTAAGAATCTATGAAGTATTTGCTATTATTTCTTATACTTTATAAATAAGGAAACTGAGGCATAGAGGTTAAGCAACTTGCCCAAAGTCAGACAGACACTAAATGGTAGAGTTTAGAATACAACCCAGACAGTCTGGTTTTTAAACATTGTTCTAGTATTTACATTATTCTAACTATAACTTTTTTTCCTTTTCACTTATTCAATGAGACATTTGTCATTCATATTTTTTCTTTTAAACAGCTGTCATGGATGCATTGGTAGAAGATGATATCTGCATTCTGAATCATGAAAAAGCCCATAAGAGAGATGCAGTGGCTCCAGTTTCGATATATTCAGGAGATGAATCTGTTGCTTCTCATTTTGCTCTTGTCACTGCATATGAAGACATCAAAAAACGACTTAAGGATTCAGAGAAAGAGAACTCTTTGTTAAAGAAAAGAATAAGGTTTTTGGAAGAAAAGGTAATCTTACCTTTTACCTTCATTGTGTTTTGTGACATAAGGGATAATTCAAAATATTTGCAATTTTGAATACTTTTTGTCTTCTCTTCCGTGGTTGTGGGCATTATACTTACCATCCTGTGTTTCACATACCATGTACTTGATGAATATTTATAGGAGAGGATTTAACAACTTGGAGTTATAGTCCAAATATTTTCCTTTCTTTTTCAGGTTTACTTACCTTCGTAGCTGTATAAATTTTATTCAGAATTTTCAAATCTGGGCCAAAAAAAAAAAAAAAAAGATATACCAACAAAGGAAATTAAGTGTCAAAGGAGGAAGCTTCTGGAACATTGTTCCAGTAGGTTTAATATCTTTACCAGGGCTGAAATCTTTACCTCAGTATTCTTTGTCTTTTATTCTTTAACAGATGTAATAGGAATAATGCTTTTAATTGATGAATTAATATTTTCTGTTTACCTTTCCCTGTATGATTGTGACACACCTAACTGCTATAGAATATGTAAGTAAGGTAGCTGATTCAATATGAAGCACCAATCTACTTGGCTTTATGTATGGCGAATCTTCTTTAGTTATCCTTTTATTTTTGAGTTTTAAAGTTTTAACTTACTTTATATTTTTTCAGCTCAGATCAGAGCGTTTTTATTCTACAAAGAGCAGCTACCACCAAGGGTAAAGAATGAGTGGTCCTGTGTAATGGAAATTAATTATCCAAGGAAATGAATTATGCTATATAAAAAAACTTGAAGATGGGGCTTGGTAGAGTTTGATTCATTTTGGTGGGAAATAAGAGGAAAGAAGTCAGTTGTAAAAATAATTCCTTTGTATTCATATGAATTATTTTTACTTTAATGTTGATTATGTAAATTTGTAGGATACAGTGAGAGAAGGTGACATTTTGGAGCTCATAACTTTGTTTTAAAGTTTAATAGAAAAATGGGTTTTATGTATAGTTAACATTGGAAATATTTTTGTACTTTGTGACCAACAATCCTGTTAGTTCTTATTCTCTAATATAAAGGATTTACTGAATTAGCACACACATCTATTTCTTAAAAAGTCAAGTCTGCCTTGGCTGGGTGCGGTGGCTCACGCCTGTAATCCGAGCACTTTGGGAGGCCGAGACAGGTGGATTGCCTGAGGTCAGAAGTCCGAGACCAGACTGGCCAATGTGGTGAAACCCCATCTCTACTAAAAATACAAAAATTACCAGGGCATGGTGGTGTGCACCTGCAATGCCAGCTGCTCGGAAGGCTGAAGCAGGACAATTGCATGAATCTGGGAGGCAGAGGTTGCAGTGATCTGAGACCACCCCATTGCACATTATCATAACTGCCTGATTCATTTTCCCACCAAAATTTATCAGGTAGTTATAATTTAATATTATAAAACAGATACCATGAATTATAAAATACTGTTATGTAAAAGCATAGAAAGCTCAAAAAATATTCTGTACATTTTTGCTTTCTTAATCAGTAAAGATTAATTGTGTGGAAATGAAATACTCACCGAATGAATCCAGGCTTTATCCCTATACTACTACGATTAAAGTAAGATATGGAGCCATCAGAACACTGACTTATTTTTTATCTGGAGAATACTCTCTTAAGCTTTCTCTTCTAATTTCATATCATTAGCTAATAGCTCGATTTGATGAAGAAACAAGTTCTGTGGGACGAGAACAAGTAAATAAGGCCTATCATGCATATCGAGAGGTTTGCATTGATAGAGATAATTTGAAGAGCAAACTGGACAAAATGGTAAGTTGGTTTGAAAATAATTACATGTATATTTTGGAAATGAATTTTCTCCTTCAAGAAGTTTAAAATCAGAAGTAAGTTAAATATTTATGTTTAGTAATTAAAATTTTATATACATGTTCAAGACAAAATGGAAATTTTAATAATATTTTAACTTATTTCTATATAAAGTATTTAGTATGTAATGATGTTTAGGACTTAAATACATCTAACACCACTGACTTATTTTGAAAAATGATTACATGGTCAATTTAGTATTATTTTTTTTTTTTTTTAGCCAGTCAATAATAATGTCCTAAATTGGAAAAAGAATAAAAGAAATTACTGAGAAACTGAGTTCATTTTCTCACCTTGCTTTTAAAGACAAGAATGAGTTTGTTTTTTTTTTTCTACCTGAAAATTACATTATAATACCAACCTGTAGATTTTATTGAATGTAATTTGGCATTTTCTCTATTTAAATAGAATAAAGACAACTCTGAATCTTTGAAAGTATTGAATGAACAGCTACAATCTAAAGAAGTAGAACTCCTCCAGCTGAGGACAGAGGTGGAAACTCAGCAGGGTATGCCAGTTACTTGTTATAAATATTCTAACAGAATTTATATATTTTTCCATTTATTTGTAACATCGATTAACAATTTTCTGTACTCACATGCTAGGACCTTATTTTTTTAATTTTTATGTTTATGTTAATTTCTCTATTCTACCTTCACGTATATCAACTTCCTTTAATTTTTTCCTTACCTATATATTGCACTTTCCTTAGAGAAAATGTGCTGGTTTTTATTCAGGACTAGTTTGTGATGAAGTAGAGGAATAAAGGAGTAGAAGCCCAGATGCAAGAAGCAGAAGTCAAAACATCTAGCCCACTGGTTGTCCTGGCCTCTCTTTCTTACCCAACATCTTGCCCACAGTTAAACACACTGCTGTGGAGTCATTACAATTTCTTTTTCTTGCTGAAGGTTGTTAAAAGGTGCAGATGAAATATTGGGGGAGAAAGTTAGATCTGGGGCTTATGGATAAATAGCCTGTTCCCATGAATATTCTGAGGCAAGCTAAAGAGTGGGCCTCTGAGAGACTTTGATAGGAGATTGAGATACAGTCTCTTAGCGTAGCTGGTTGGGGCTTTTTGCAGCAAGAGAGACTGAGGTACTAATTAAGGAATAAAGCAGTATCCAGTTGTATTGAGTTTCTGCAGTGGAATGTTTAAGGATAAAATTGTTTTGACATCATGTTCTGGGCTCATTGGTCAAACTTCATACTCTGAGAGAACTAGATGGAATGATTAGCTGAGCCTCAGTTTATTATTTTCGTCACTGTCTTAACCTTGACGTTGCAGAATATTAATCTGTCTGCAATTTTAGCATATGCTTGATTTTAGGATAGTTGTCTTTAGAAATTCTAAAACAAGATTCCTAGATTTCTTATTCTCCTTAGCATAGATCTTTGAAAGTATTAATAATTACTGTTTTTTAAAACCTATTGATCGTATATGTTTAATGTTAGTTTTTCTATTATCTAGATTTTACCAGAATAACCTTTTTAAGAATTGCAATCAGTGTAGAAGGAAAAGATAACAGTTTCAATGTCCATCCTTTTTGTAGTGATGAGGAATTTAAATCCACCTTCATCAAACTGGGAGGTGGAAAAGTTGAGCTGTGACCTGAAGATCCATGGTTTAGAACAAGAGTTGGAACTGATGAAGAAAGAATGTAGCGATCTCAAAGTAGAACTACAGAAAGCCAAACAAACGGTATTACAGAATTATTAAATTGAGAAATTCAGTATTCTTTGTGCATCATATGTAGGATTTATAACTAAGTAGGTGTTAAACTATAGAGTTAACATAAATTGTAATTACTTAGAGAATATTCTAGTCCTTGAAAAAAATATGTTTATCTACCTCTTTAAGCATTTCTGCTAAAATCTGACATGCCATATACTTTTAGTCTGTTCCAAAACTATACAATTTGGTTTTTTAAAAGGTTGATTTTTAATAAGCTTGTTAGTTTATTATAACTGTTCCTTCAGACTCCCTTTCCTTCATTTTCCTTATTTTTTTCTCTGGAAAGTTTAAAGAGAACTCAGGTTTTAAGTCTTATTTTATTTTACTTAATAATTTCATTAATTTAGATATAAGGGACAACTCGATTTTTGGAATTAAAAAAACACGACCAACAAAGAAAAGGTAACAGAGCTTACTTATTATCAGAACGCTACTACTTTCGGGGCATCTTTAACTACCAGCAAATAGCTGAGAATTCAAGAATTGGAAAAAATAACAAAAACCTACCAACTTGCTGGAGTGTGGTTGGCCTGAAGTCATCCACTAAAAGAAGCTGCCTCTTAGATCCTTACCAAGAGTCTGTGTGCCCAATATTTAACATCAGGTTCTAAAAACTTGGACCTATATTTTCAGATGTCATGACAGAGCTGAGATTAAAAGAAGAAATGATAAAGAAGCAGGGAAGTGTGAGAGCAATACACCAAATGCAGATTTTAAATAGTTATTACAAGAAATTGAAAAGCTTAGTAGTCTGGAGCAAATAGCCATTTTATGCATTTACATATTTCAACTAAGGTATATAATTGTTTCTCCACTCAACCATTTTGCCTACCAAAGCATTTTAACACTATTGAGGAATTGTGTTTCTTATTCCTTGTCCCTTTGGGATGCCACCACTTGAAAGGGGAACTCCATCCCCTACTTCCCGACTACTTGGCAGATTCTGCCCTGAATCTCAAGTGTTCTTAGATGGAGCTGATGTGTCTTTCTTCTGTAATATAGTTTTTATGAGAGGTGGCCACTCGATAAGAATGAGCCAGATACTGAGAATAATAGAGCAGTCTGCCTAGTCCTTGACCAAATGAATTCCTCTGAACTGGGCAATGAGAACTCACTTTAGCGCCTCCATTCCTGATAAAAGGGAAACACTACAAAAAATTACTGTCAACTCTTGTTAGCGCCAAGTGGTTTCTTTCCTACTTGACATATAAAGTTAATTTTCCAGGTTTGAACTTGTGGCCACACAGCACAATTCCTTCAGAGACTCAGCATCCTGTTCCATAGCTCAGTTGCCATCACCACTGAGAAGCCTCTTTTCAAAGGACATGCTTACAAGAAAAGATCTGCACCTTGAAGTTCTGAATTCTAATTGCCAGAATTTATATTCTATTTGAAAAGAAATAATTTGATAGCTTTTATACATAATGGATAGTTTGTTGTACTGTAGGAAGCAGTACCATGAAATCGAAAACTTAGCTCATAGTTGTGGTGTTGCTTATTAGCTGTAACATTAGGGACACCATTTTACTTCTTAGAAGTTGTTTTCTATAAAATAGACATTAAATACCTTTTTTCATGAAGGTTAAATTACAGTATGTAAAGTAGTTAGCATAGTGGCCCATATATAGTATGTTCAGTAAGTAAATGCTTTTTTAAAAAACTTGATGAGAGTAATCTAGAAGGGCAGTGCCTTTAGGTTTTTATGTGTATTGAAATATCTGTTCTTAATATGTTAGTCACTCTTTTCCACTAGATGGTGCTAGGGAATAAATTTGCTTTTAGTTTAAATTCATCTATCATAAGTGACCAAATTCGTAGCCATGGGTCTCTCCTTATATAAAACGTCATATGGCACTAGCTGGTGAACAGATCCATTACCACCTTTAGGACATGGCAGATCAATTACTAGCCAAGAAAAGGGTCTTTAAATACTAGATACAGTCCCTATGAGTTTACTGCTGATGTACATTGGAGTGTGAATTGTTAGATAGTAGCTGGAAAAACATTTTTCCACTCCAACTGTCAAATTTTCTTGTATTGTTGTCTTTAAAAATGAGGAAGGTTTTCAATGAACATAGATGCCTAAGTATATACTAATTTTTAAAAAAAATTTTAATTGGTGATACAAAGATACTAAAAGTGATCTGATGATCAGGTTCTTTCTTTTCCTGTAAGGAACGGAAAAAAACAAGGTCCAAGGATACGTGTCTTGTTAGTAGTCAAACCTCCCCTGACTTGTGGGCCGTTCTGTTTCCCCTCTCCATAGGGCTCCCTAAGATTTAACTTAACTGTTAAGAGTATCAAAATCAGAGATCCAGAAAGGTTTTAACTCCTGTAAGATGAGGCATTTTTCACATTTTACTCTCAAGTTCAGAATACTCATGAAGTGCTTATGTTGCTTTTTAATGTTTCACTGTAAAATATGTAATTTAGATTATATTGGTAAGAAATGATAAAATTACATTTTGTATTCTGAGCTTATACTGGCCACTTCTGCCAGTAGAATTAGTACCTGTGAAAATCATTTTTATTTGTTACAAACCTTTATATGAGAATGCATTGCAAATAAGTGTTACAGAGTTGTCTTGAACATATTAAGTCCATTTAAAAATATCTTCTGAAGATTCTTTGTCATATCTGCAACCTAAATAAACTACTAAAACTTGAAAGTATCTAGGGACTTTATATTGTCCTTGCCAGGTCATTTTTAATCCATGTGGAAGGAGGAAATGTATGCTGATGTTTTAAAACAGTAACCTGTTAAAATTCTGGTGTGTTTTTGGTAATAGCACAAAAAAGTAAAATACCAAAAAACTTCCATTTTCCCATAGATTTCATTCAGCTGTACCATAAATAGACAGAAATTTGGTAATACTTTTTTTAATATAGACTTCACATTGGTGTCTTTAGAAATATATTGTAAGATTACAAGTTCTTTTACAAAACGAGAGCAATTTTTTTTTTTAAAGAAAATTAAAGCATTAATACTTTAAACCATTGGAAGTGATTTAGGGATATTTGTTATAGATTGAAGATATTTTATTAAAATTGAGTATAAAATCTAATTTTATGCTCTACCATTATAGATATATTCTGTCAAACCTGAAATATGTCTCTGGTAATAAAGAACTGAGACTAAATAAAATGTAAAAGTTACAACTTTTAAACTTCTTTTTTTTAAAACAAATGGCAGGATCCACATCAGGAAGACAATCTGAAGAGCAGAGATCTCCAAAAACTAAGCATTTCAAGGTATGACCATTCTTCAGCATTAAAATAATACATTATCCTTTTCCATAAATCACTTTGTGTAGGTCCTTAGATTTCTTTTATGATTTAACCTTAAAATGCATGGATGTTGTTTTGATACTGAATGTAACCTCTGATCACAATATATTTATAAAACAAAATGTAATTGTTACGTAACAACAGCTTTGAATTTAAGTAGTGGAAAAATGGGATGCCTTAAACTCTGAATATTCAGTAGTATTTTAGGGAACTAGTTATATGAAAGTATTCTGTAATACTTAATTTGTACCTAGAAGAATTATTTGTTATGTATATACAATAACATTCCTTTTACTTAAGGGTGTACTTGCCAGTGTTAGTCTTTGGGATAGAATGAAATTGTTTTTGTTTTTGTTTTTGTTTTTCTTGTTTTTTTGAGACAGGGTCTCTGTAGCACAGCCTGGAGTGCAGTGGCACAATCATGGGATAGCATGAATTTTGAGGACTCTTCCCTCTTCACATAAGAATAGAAGTAGCCATCAGAGTTTACATACTTTTCCAACCCATTTTCCTCAAATACATATCATTTTTACTTAAGTAACTTCAGTTCTATGTTTTAAGTTATCTAATAATTGTTGTTTCTACTATGTTAAGATAGCCTCTCTACATTGTTACCCTCCATCCAATAAAAATACTGATCTGACTTCATTGATTGATCATTTGGCTTCCAAAGTTTACTGACTGAAGTAAATAATGTGAATCATGTCACGCCAGTTCCTATCAAAAACCTGCTTGAGAGAAATGATCAATTAGGAAAAACAATTTGAGGAAATGACATATAGCTACTCTTCTAGATCAGGGGTTGACAGACTTTTTCTATAAAGTGCCAGCAGTAACTGTTTTATTAGACTGTGTGAGCTGGCAGTACAATCTCTGTTGAAGTTATTTAACTCTGCCATTTGAACAGTACTTCAGTTATGCCTTTGAATTTTATCTAATTTTACCAAAAGGAAACTTGTTTTTTTGAAAAGTGTGTGTGATGTAGTGTCCATGTAAACTATTTCTTAAAATTATCTTCTTTGTCAGTTACCTTCTCCTGTCAACCTAGGTTTCCCCTTATTTTTCTGTATTTGTCATTTTTATAAGCCACTTCAAATCAGTTTAGAAAGAAGTAGACAATGAATAAATATAATCAAAAGAGATCAAATACAGGGGCTATATAAATAGTACAGAAGTATGTGCTATAGAATGGAATTTCTGCTTTCATTCATGGGTGATTGCATAATTTGGATCACATACACTAAGAATTTCTTGAAAACCTGACTCCCCACCAAAATACCTGTTTGAAGGCATCAGATAACTAACAAAATATTGAAGAATCTCTGTACCAGGATTTGGGGAAAGTTGAAGTCCCAAGGAGATGATTCCGCTTTCAAGGCTGCAAAGCTCTAATTGTGGTTCCAGAGTGTGTAGCTTCAGTTCTTTAAAGCTCAGTATCAATTCAGAGGACAGTTTTTAGAAAGAATTGCCATAAATTCAAGTTTAAAAGTTACTTTGTGTTAAAGCCATACTAGCATTATGTATGTAAAGAATTGTGTAATTACAGCATGTCCCAGTGGCTCTCTTAGTACTCAGATATACTTGTGTTTTTTTGCAAATTGGTTTGCATTTGTATCACATAGATAATGTGAAGTGCAAAACTGATTAGGTTTCTCATCTTGGTTATATACTGGAAAACTTAGAACCAAATTTGTGGTCTACTGTTGGTAAACTTTTATCATGCATTTTTATGTTAGCCTCATTCTCCACTGCATTGTTTTGTTTTGTATTTTTCACATCATTTCCATCTATTTCCAGTTTATGTTCTTGTGTTTTGTTAATCTTTTTAAGTTATCTACTTTTAAGAGGAACAATTCAGATGACAGATTAGTTTACTATATTGGAAAAAGTACATAGGGATATTTCCATAAAACCATTAACTAAAGGTTTGGATATATTTAAGGAATATTTTTCAGTTATTTGGATAACTTCCTTTTTTGGAACTCTCTTTTTTTGTATTTCCTCTATCATACTGCCAGGCAAATGAGGTAGTATACTGTTTCCCTACGACAGAGTGAACCTTTTAATTACTGGAGGCCTTTATTCGATACTCATTGTATAAAACATCATCTAACAGTAATAGCCTTGTCAGAAATTTAAACAGTGTCCTGCCAAGTGTACTGTTTTGATTTTGGCTTTAGGTTGATGACTTCAATTTTTAAACCAAATGTAGGTGTAGAGTCACTGTACTTCTTTTACTCATCAACTGTAAACCTACATTGTGGAACTATATTACCGATGACTTCCTAAAATGTAAATTTCCAGGTTTAGAAAATGCAGATTAGGTTAGTGTTTTTCAAGCTCTTCTGTGTTTTTTTAGTGACACAAACTTTTATCAGTTATGATAAGCATTTAAAAAACATGGAATAAGTCAGACTAGAATATGCCAGTCAGAACCAGAGTGCATTACACACAATAAGGGTAAGTATGGTTTCTTATAACTTATTTTCTTTGGGTTGCAGCGTAAAATGATTCTTGCTGAGCTTTGCAATAAAAAATGAAAGCCACTTGTTTGGCGGGGAACCACGGTTGTCAGAATACACACTTTAAGTCTGTAACTCTTGGATAAGAATATCTCATAGTTTAATTTTAACATGGTGATGGGGAATGTGATAGTTCAGTAAATTTTCAAAGGCTAAAGAAAAATATGTATGGTTGAAGTAGAAACTCAAGTGGATTATTCTCATACAAGCAATATTTATTTCTGTATTAAAGAGTTCCATGTGTAGTGTCAACTAAGAAAGCTGAGCTTTTAGCGGTTATACTTTGTAAGCAGGACATGTAGCCTCTTCTGCAGTTGTAGGCAAGCCGGTTTCATTACATTTAAAAGTCAGAGATGTGAGAAGACTGTGTTGGCAGTCAGCATATTGTAGGTGCCTGGTAATTGATGAGGATATGAAAAATGCTACTCCAAAAGGTCATTAGACCGGATAAGTGAAAGACAGCTTTGAACAGCAACATATCAGACTGGAGTATACTTTTCAGCCCATTTCCTCCTGTGTAAAATGAGGTTACCCACTTTACCAAGTTGGTGTGAGAATGTGGGTGAAGTGCCTAGTATATAAGTGCTCAACCATCATTATTTGCGCTTCATCTGTTTTTTTAGAGTTCTCATTTGAGAAGCTTCAGTGTTATATTTCAATATTTGAAGTCGTTGTATAAGTTCTTTATAGATAACATATAGCATTTTGCTTATGTGGCATTTAAAGCAAAACTTAACTGAAGTTCATAGTCTCGGGAAACTGAGGTAAGGATAGAAGGGTAACAATCTATACTTTGTCTTCCAAACACCTAGATAAGAGGTTTAATTGGAAGCCTACTGAAATTTGAGGGATGACAACTTGCCTTTTCCAATATCATTTAAATAATGGTTAAACATTTTGTTCAAGTAGATAGAATTTTAAATAAATTTTACATACTTTGAAGATTATAGCACTTTAATATTAACTGTAAAGTGGGAAACACTAACTGCAGTTACTTTGTTATCCACAAGAGGGAGAGCTGTACTTAGTAATAATTTTACATTTGTCTGTAGATTTAAATTCGGGTGACACTAAGAGCAAAAAACAAGAAGACTAAATGTGTATTAAACTCAGTGACCTAGTTTTTAACCTAAGTTTTAAGCAGTCTTCATTAAATTGAACAGAAAATTTTATATTAGGCACTGTAAACACCATTATTAGAATTCTTTCTCTTATTTTCCATGCCTAGTTGTCTTGAATGATTAGATATGGTTGGTATTTTAGTACTCAAAACTGTCTTGAGTGTTTGCTCTTGTTTTCTCTTAAACAGGCACTGATTTATTGTCTCACACCCGTAATAAACTATTTTTAAGCTGTATTATTCATACCATGACTATCTGCATGAATTAGCACATGTACGGTGTTTACACTTACTGCTATATAATGTGAGTAACTCTTCGGAAAGCATATGAATGCCCAGAATTATACCAAGAAACCAACAACTCCCTTCACACTTAAGACAGGTTCCTATGTGAAACATTCATTGTAGCAAACATCTCAGATGTTTTCTGGTGAAGTAGACATGGTTAATTTTTGTGAAATAATTATTTGACACCTGTTAAAAACCTGCAAAAAACCCTATGATTTCTGATACACTACTACTTAACAAATGATGTTTACAACAGACTAAAACAAGCAGATTTTTCTTAAAAGCAGTGTAAAGTTCATTGACAAAAAGAGGTATTTAACCTTACTATAATTCAAAATAATATTTTATATATTAAATATATAATTTATGTATGATTTAATTATATTTAATATATTAAATATAATCTATGTTACTTATGTAATTTGAGATATTAGATTTCAAGAATATTATCCTTTTGAAGTTTAAGTGTTTATGGTAACACAAAAATTGAAGCATGAGGTGACATGTTTGTGTAGTTTGATTTCTGTTCTTCTAACATTACAGTAATATCTCTAAGGGGTAATAATGATTTTTCTAATTCTGTAAGATTATTTATTGTTACATTTAATATTTTGTGATATTCCTGTACAACAAAATGAGAATATATGCTGAACATTTTAATTCACTTAGTTGGCAATTAAGAAGCAAAAAAAGAAAATCCTCATTGTCCAAATATGAATGTTTTATGGAAAACAAAATCTATAAAAATGAGGTTTAAAATAATTATAAATTCATAGATAATTGAGGTAAAATACTTTTAATTATAAAAATAGGGGAGGGATTTTTGAAGTTTCTATTTCTGTTTCATATAATCCTCCCTCTCTCGCTGCTTTTTCCTTACGAGGAAATCATCTGGCTCTTCATGTCTTATGCTGTCATGTCACATTGGTTTAGAACCAACATTATGAGACAGCCCAGTCAAACATAAAGAATGTAATGCATGAAACCTAAATTTTATTTTAATGTGGACTTGAATATGGATTCAAATAGTTGATATATCATTTCAATTCAGTGTCAAAGCAATCAAAAGATAAATACAAATAATCCATATTTGAATGAATGTAACTTTATGCAAATAAAGAACATATTCCTTACTACTTACTAATTAATAGCTGCACATTATAGCCTAAAATAAAATTGCAGTTCTGAGAATAGACCCTGCAAGAATCTCTCATCAGTTACAATATTTATTTTTATTATACCATTTAATATAATACAGTTAATTGCTACATATCAGAGGGACAGTGTTATTCTTTCAAGATCTTTTCACTTATTAATGCCCTGGTTAAATATCTTTCAATTGTTTTATTTAATTTACATCATCTGAAAACTAATTGGAGCAGAAATTTGATCTGCATATTTCTAAAGTTATTCCTTTTTGTCTATAAAAAGAATGACGAGTATTAACTTATTGTAAAAATCCTTTATTTCAGTGATAATATGCAGCATGCATACTGGGAACTGAAGAGAGAAATGTCTAATTTACATCTGGTGACTCAAGTACAAGCTGAGCTACTAAGAAAACTGAAAACCCCAACTGCAATCAAGAAAGGCAAGTCACTGTTTACCGGAAACCACTGATTCCAGCCAAACTGCCTGAAGAGCAACTAGCTGTCGTATCTTATCAAAATCTCATCAAATGAGAGATTGATAAGCCAAAGTATATATAGTATGTTTGCAGCCTACCCATTCTCTGCTTCGGCTTCAGCCTCATACTGGTCAACTTCACACATAAAGGTGTTGCTGATGTGTTTTTTCTTTAGTACTGTATTCTTTTCCCCTTGTGGCTTTTCTCAGCCAAGTGTTGCTTATGTGTATAAGGCTGAGGTGTTAAGTTTGCTCTAGTTGACCTTTTACCACAGCTACTTCATATATTGAAAAAAAAAAAAAGGACACCAAAAGCAAATATTCATTCCAGTGCTACAGAATACACCAAAGAGCTAGCTAATTTCAGGTTGTTTGTTTTGAAAAAGAAAGCAAACTTTGATTCATTATTTGTTTTTTTTGCATTTCTTACAAGCTTTTCTTTCCATAAAGGATATAGCTGATTAAACAAAAACTAGGTGTTCTCCCTTCATGCCCTTCAACCAAACAAAAATTTTCATTGCTTTGCCTTTCATATTTAACTGCTTGACTGATTGAACTTTTTGAGTTTTGTGTTAACTAGTAGTAGCTACTTTTGCCAAAGCTATTTTTAGAGAAAAATCAGTACATTTGTACCTAGTATTACGTAACAGGTATATTTCTGAAAAGTTGGGTGATATAAATTTGAATGCCCTAAAATGTACTTTTTAAAAATGAGATAGAACTTTTTATAAAAAATAATCACCATCTAGTTTAAACTTACTTATTTGTATTTCACATTGTCTTAAAGAGCGCACAACAGGGTTGCGTCATAAAGAGTTCTCAGGAGTGTTTATTAGTGAGGAAAAGTGTTACATTTTGGAAAGGAAAATTGAATTTGGAACTCCTTGTCATTTTTAGAGAGTTGGTTACATATAAATCAGGGAAAACAATATGGGGTTTTAGCAAATGTACCTTAATTTATGGTTCACTTTGTCCTTGAGTTTTCCACTGGTCAGAGTTACATGTGAGACTGTAGGTTGATGGTACAAATAAGATCTCTCTTTAAAGGAACTCACAGAATATTTCTGCATTGAGTTTTCAATCTAGCTTTGTTTACCTGAATAATAAAAGAGCAGTGCTCTTTTCATACTTGGACATAGCTCATCCTTGTGTTCCTTCCTGGCTGACTAATACTTCTTAGTGCTTTGGAACATAAGTTTTCTAGCACATTTCCTATGACAGTGGTAGGCTAAAGGTCACCACTCCTTACCACAGAACTCATTGCTTTGAGGAGTACAGAAATGAGACAAGATCACCTTTCTCCTGACCTTTGTGTCACCTTTTCTCCAAAGCCAAACACTGTACTTCCGGTTCTCCTCCATCCCTATCCACCCTCCCAGGAAAAATAATGAGCTTATTTTATAATGTCGTTCAATTTGTTTCTTCTAAAACTACATGAAGTCAAGCGTAGTTACACTTTGCCATGCTTCTTGAAGTAAGGATAAACTTACTTTTCCACACTGATAGTTTGAGCTGGAGGGAGAGGAGAAGCCTGTATTACCAATGTGCTGGCTGTGGTGAAATAATAGCTTTTAAGTAGTCTTTCTAGGCCATTGCATTTGTACAAACCTTTCTTTTGGCCTTTTTTTTAAACTTTACCTATATTGTGACCACAGCAGCATTAACATTTGCTATTTATGTTTTACAAGAAACAAGATTTTACAAACTTACTTAAACTGCTTTATCCACAAAAGCCTTTGATATATAAAAACTTCATTTGGATCTCACCAATTCAAAATTAATTATTTCTGAAAACTTTACTTTTGGACTGCCTATGGACAAAGAGTTTGACTAAGCAAAGGAATATTGTATTTAACTAAAAAATGCTAAAACTTGAGAACTGTCTTAGTCCCCAGAACCATCTGCAACCCTTCTCCAGCCACAGTAAGAGCCAGGAACAGGATCTTTCTTTGTATTTTAGCTGTATTAGTTTCCAACTTTTAAAAATACGTAGGTCTTCATCTTTTAAAAGCTCTATGGCATAGGTGGGTTAGGAATTCTGTATCCATTCTGCAGGCAAGGAAAGAGACATCAGGAGCATCTAAGAGACAAATATCTAAAGTCACAGTCAGTAAATTGGTGATCCAGGATTAAAACTCAGATCATCTGTCATTTATCTCCTAGTCACAGTGCCTCAATGATCACACTAACTTGGAAATGTTAATTTCATAACCAGTTTTAGAATTCAGCCAAATTGGTGACGTGTTATAGAATTATATGATCACAAATGCCACGAAAACTGACACTTAGTCTGTGTTTTCTTTTTAGCCTGTGCCCCTGTAGGATGCAGTGACGATCTTGGAAAAGACAGCACAAAACTGCACTTGATGAATTTTACTGCAACATACACAAGACATCCCCCTCTCTCACCAAATGGCAAAGCTCTTTGTCATACTGCATCTTCCCCTTTACTAGGAGATATAAAGATTTTATCAGAGAAAGCAATCCTCCAGTCATGGACAGATAATGAGAGATCCATTCCTAATGATGGTACGTGCTTTCAGGAACACAGTTCTTATGGCAGAAATTCTCTGGAAGACAATTCCTGGGTATTTCCAAGCCCTCCTAAATCAAGTGAGACAGCATTTGGAGAAACTAAAAGTAAAACTTTGCCTTTATCCAACCTTCCACCACTGCATTACCTGGATCAACATAATCAAAACTGCCTTTATAAGAATTAATTTGGAAGAGATTCATGATTTGACCATGAGGACACTTATCTCTTTCAGTGGTTCTCCCACTATTTAAGGAACTGAAAGGGGATTTTGATTAAAATTTTGCAGAGTTCTTCAGTATCTATATTTGAACATATTGTACAAGATGTACAAAACCAACATCTTTTGTACAAGATGTACAAAAACCAACATAGATGTACAAAAACCAACTTGGTTTTCCAGTATGAAGGGGCACCCTCTAGCTCTGTATTCTAAGAATCCAAAATATGCTACACTATACTAATTAATAAGTAAACTTAAGATGTTTAAAAAAAAAGAGAACTCTCCTTTCGATAACAACTGTAAAATTTTGCCTCTCAAATAAAAGAATGGCATTGGAGATTTTAGATGTGGTTTTACAAAGTGTGTGAAATGTCTAAATATCTGTTCATAAAAATAAAAGGAAACTATGTTGCTTCAAATTGCATAATGGAACAAATGGCAATACGAATAGGTTACTTTTCTGTTGTTACAATGCATAAAGATGGAAAATATAATGAAATAAAAGCTTCTTAGGTTATACCACCTTTATATGCTACTGTGTTTCAACGTTTTAAGATTTAAAGTGATTTCTTAGTGTTTTGTTGGTAAAATTTTAGAATTGCAGTTTGAATTCTAAGACGTGAAATAACCTAATCATTGAAGCCAACTTTGTCCGGGTACATTCCGTAAGTCCTAATTGAAAAAAAAAAAATTATGATGAAATAGTTGAAAAACTCTGTGAGGTGTAAACAAATGATTGTAACTCCATACACCATTCAGTTAGAAGTAGAAGGAGCATTCACACAGGTTTCAGTCTAATCTGCCACTTCAGTAGGCCACTATATAAACCTAAATATATGTGTATAATGATAAAAAGTCATTTTCTTTAAAGGGTCTACAGCTGTTTGTTAGAGCAGCTTCTAAATTGTTAGACCTTGTGTTGAAATGTAATAATCAATTTTTGAGAAAGTGGCTTTAGGAGTTTTAATCATAGAAATCAAATGTTGGGCTGTATTGATATTATCAATCATGAAATGTCCACACGCTCTTATTCTAAGTGGCCAATTACTTGTAAACAAAGAAGGAAATAACAAAGATGGCTTCAAATGGAAATTTATCTAAATTCTTTAAGGGTGGAGATTTACTTGGCTAATACACTTTTTGCCTGAGTTAAAGTAGTTTATGTAGGAGGACTTTATCCTTTTCAATAGAGTTTCATATATCTCATACTCAAAAGAATATCTCAGATCTCTTCTACTGTATTACTGAATAGCATACATACATAAGATGATGTTCGCCATTCACCAGATATTGTTGTCTTTCTATTATCTTACACTTATTCAAGCTTGTCTGTGATTAATGGAATTGGTGTCAGATGCTGGAATTTATTCTGACCAATGAACACAGCTGACTCAGGGGAGTACAATCTCCTGCCAAGTAATAGAACCAAACCCAATATGCATAAAACAAATACAATACTCCAGGCTTTAGCTGAAGGAAGCAACTACCTGTGTAATAACAAAGCAGCAAAAACTATTTCTCATGTGGCTGCATAGGCTGTATATTATATCTGATCTCTAATGTAGCTTACTGGTTTGCCTTTTTTAAAACCAAAATTGGAAATTTTCCTTTGTAAAGAAAAAAAGTCTTATGAGATAATTGCTTGATTAATGTTTTGAACAATACCAAGAAATTAATTAAAATAAATTATTTTTGTTTGAAATTGAAGTGGATGTGAAATATTGTCCTTGCCTATATATCTCAAAAGTCTGGTACTAATTGTTGGTTGTTAATATGATTCATATAATAGACATTTGTTAAACCAACTGCTTTTGAGTGGAGAAAATTATTTTCCATCTAAACAGTACAGTGATGATAGCTATCAAACAGGTATACTAAAAAGTCAGTGACTGATTGTGACAGTTTAAGTGCTAGGCAGATATGTTTAAGGTTCTTTAGTAAGGAAAGATTAACCCCAAAATTTTTTACCCAGCTGAAGTTTTAAAATGTACACTTGATCATCTCTGCTCTAGAAAAAATTCAAAAACAAAACAAAAACAGTTGCCTATTGAATGTTTTATGTTGACTTCTTTCATACTAGCTGAAACTTGCTCCAAAGAGCTTCCTTAAATCTTTAGATTTATTTTTGTAAGATTCAATTCAGTACATCCATAAATCAACAGAATAAAGAAAGAGAACATAAATAACAAAAACCTACCTATTCCTTCCTCTTGCTCCCTTATTAGCTAAAATAAAAATGTACATGTCTATAGAAGACTTACTGAGTTGCTGCCAAAATGGAACTGAATTCTTAAAAGCAGGAATGTGCCTATGTAAAACATTAGAAAACCAAAATAAATGGGAAAATTCAGACTTGAAAAACTGAATCATGTGACAAGAAAGTACTGATATTCATAAAGGCTACTTAGAGAAGGTGTATCTGAAGTGGTGGAAAACATGGGTTATCACATATGAACGGAATAATATCAACAGAGGCACCAATAAGCAAGCAAGACACAACTGAGGCAGATGTACCTAGTGAAAAAAATTCAGTATGGATATGCATGGGTATTCTGAAGGTTACAATTAATGGTTTAGTCTTTGACATAAAGAGGATGAATATATTGTTTATAATCTAATTTGGCTTCTGTGGGGAAAGCAACATGTACATAAGTGAATTTCCACATGAAGTGAAGTGGGCTACTTCTGATTTTAATCAAAGCTATAAAATAGTCACAGATTGTATATTTCACTAGCTTCTTCAACTAAATTCAATATTCATTTGAGTTATCTCTAAAAACAGTTAAGGTCCTGTGCTCTAGGAAATGCACCAATACCAAAAGGTCAATGTGGAAATACAGGCATCTTTACCCCTATCCTGTGTGGTCTCTAGATTTCTATATTTGCTTTGCTTTTGTCTGCTCTAGTAATCTTTCTTTTGATCTGTGGCCTGGGAAAATGTGGGTTCTTTGTATTTCAAATAAGAGTAAAATAGTTTTTAGAGTGGCTCACTCAAGAGTGAAGTGTGGAACTTGAACACCTATTGATTCTTTAGTGTCCTATTTGATTTAGGTCCTTTAAAAAAAAAATCTCACATCTGCTTCATGGGATTGAGGCCAAAGTTAAACCTTGTCTTAGTGCATAGTAATTTCTATTTGTGATTTTAATGAGGACTGTGAAAATGTAAATAAAATTTACTTATCTTGAAACTAGTTACAATGGCTCATGGGGGGGTGGGGAGAAATAACTTTTAATATGAAAGCTCAAATTACTAAATTGAGATGGAAATTTGTATACTACTTCCTAAGTCCATTACTATGTTACAGAATGGTAATTCACTTAGAAAAATAACTTTTCAAAATGAAAGATTAAAGGATTCAGTAGCTGAGTTACCAGGTTAAGAACATACAATACGCTTTAGAAAATTCTCCATCAAAGATGTAAGTAATTCATATAAGTATGTATCTCCTTACCTGTGGTTCTGCTGTGGTTTGAGTGTGTTCCCCAAGAGTTCATTTGTTGGAAACTTAATTGCTAATTTAACAATACTAAGATATCGAGCTTTTTATGAGGTAATTGGGTGATGAAGGTGGAGCCCTCATGAATGGATTTATGCCGTTATTTTAAGTATAAGTTCTCAAGAGAGTGGGTTGTTATAAAAGCTTGCTCAGCTTGGTCTCTTGCACACACTTGTTTGTCCTCTATTTTTTCACCCTGTTACGTTTTGATGCAGTATGAAAACCCTTGCCAGAAGCTGCTGGCAAATAAACTCCAGAACTGTAAGCCAAATAAGCTTTTCTTAAAAATTACCTGGTCTTGGGTATTCTCCCATAGCAACAGAAAATGGACTAAGATAGTTTCCAAATAAGCCTGTACTACTAATAACAGTAACTACCAATATAAAAGCATCTACCAGGTCTGAAACACTGTCTTATACACTGTACTTGTACCTGCAATACTCAGTAAATCCTCACATGCTGTATTAGATTTACTTCCACAGTTGTATGGCTAGTAAGTGGTAGAACATACCTGGTTCTGCTTCATGGTCATTCTGCTATACTCCCTAGTTATTATTAACACCTTTGAAAGTTGTCCATTCCTACTTTTCTTTAGTTTTGGCTCCCATGATTAGCCATTAGCCTATACATGGAAGAAAAGTAATGTAAGGTCCATATTGAACTCTAAAAAATCAGTATCACTGTTACAGAACTACAGTTGTGAGAAAACTTTTAAAAGGTCCAGAATGACCAGGAAAACCAAATCCCACTTCAGTAATTACTCCTTTCCCATTTAAGAAACCAGAACTTTGAAATAAAATATTTATTTCAGATAAAATTAGTATTTCCGTAATTAAGATAAAGTAAACATTCTTATCTTCAGTCTATTATTTAAGGTGATTTATACTATAGAATGACTTCCATGAATATTGGATTTCCTGAATGTCATTTGAATATCTGCCTACATGCTTGTGGGAAGCTTCTGCAGCCTTTTCTTTGCAGGAATTCCAGTTCTTCTGAATTCTTCCCTTTCCTTCAGGTATTCCATTTTGCATTCTTCATAAAAGGCTGGATCAGTATAGCTATGAGAAGGAAACAAAAATACTTTAAATAATCTTGCATGTGTTAAATGTAAGCTTACTTTAATTACTAATATTCAGACATCTGGTTCATCAGGCTCAATCTTTAGAAGCGGACTTTTAGTAATGATTCTAAATTCACTGTTAACATTATGCTACCAAACTAAAGACCAAATCACTCATTTGTATATAGCACTGTCAGAGGATAGAGCAATGAGAAGCACAGCTCCTGTCCTGGAAGCCCACGGTGTTAAGGGGCAGACAAAAACCAGATTACAGTTAAGTATACAAAATACTGTGACAGAGGTATGGCCCAGTGTACCATGGAAACATGGAAAAATGGGGAAGGCAGAGATATCAAGGGGAAATGCCTAAGTTGCACTTTGAAAGACCAACAGAAATCCATAGAGAAAGCAAGAGTGGGAAGGCACATGGATGAGGAAAAACTGATGCATGAAAAACTGCCAAGCAGAGGGGTATACCACTCTAGCAGATTATGCACACAGGAGAAAAGGCCTGAAATGAAGATGGAATGGGCAAAGATCAAATC